ATTCCAGTCCAGCCTGGACCACATAGCGAGACCCCATCTCTTAAAGAAAAAAAAAACTGGGAAGAAATAGATGTTCTTTTTTCAAAATAAGGCTTAAGGGACACATGAGCATAAGATTGACAAGAGAAGTCAGTGCAAGAGAAGATCAATTTATTTGATACATTCCTATCTAGAGGCTGGTCCATAGTGAGGGCTACTTTCCCACTCTTCACTCCAAGGATCCACAATTTCCTATGTCCCCCCATCCAGCAGCAGAACTCTAGGGCACAGGATGGTGACAGCAACCCATGCTAAAGGCCACATCCCCACAGGGGGACCTTAGCCAGGAGTTGAGGCAGAGGAGCTGGACTTATGGGGACTGTGCATTCGGGAAGGGAAAATGAATGAGGATGGGAGGAGGTGGATAGGGTCTGGGGTGTGTCTCCCACCCTCTGTGTGTCAGGAATGGGTCTTGAAGCACAGGAGTGAGCCTGCACCTAGTGTGCCCCAGGAAGTCCCAACCATCCTAAGACTCTGCATGTCTTGGCTCACGTCACTTGAGCCAAAGCAAAGAATTGAGCGTTATTCAAGTGTGTGCGTGGAGTGTCCAATGTGAGGGGGTGTGTGCGTTTAGCTAAGGAACAGAGGAGGACATCTCTTCCTCCCTCCACTTACCATCACACATCTGCATTTCTTCAGTCTGAAGGTGGGAAGACGAAGAAAGACAGGCACACATCTGACTTGGTTCTTTAATCCTTGTTTTCCAAGATAGGCAGTTCAGTGCTTGGTCTGCGTTTTTCTTCTGTCAATTTGTGTACTGGAATTTATGTAAACATTGGTAGATTCTTAAACAGTATCTTTATAGTAGGTTAAATATGGCTGCAAATTTTTTGGTACTTCTCCCCCTGAGGGACGGAGTGTAATGCTTGACTGATAGAAGATGGTGGAAGTGATGTTCTAGAACATCTGAGGCTTAGTCTTAGAAAAACTGTGGCTTTTGCCTGGGTCTTTGTGAACATTCTCTGTGGCAATGCTGAGCCACAGTGTAAAAAGCCCAAATGCTCCGTCTACCATGCCAAGAGGCCACATCTGGCATGTAGGTATACTGGTCAACAGTCACAGCTGAGACCTGCAAAGGTGCCAGGGATGTGAGTAAACCTGTCTTGGATTCTAGAACAGCCCATCCACTAAGTAACCAGAAGAATCACCTGACCACACTCTGCCCAAATTCCTGACTAACAAAATCATGAGATAAAATGAAGTGATTGTTGTTTTAAGCCACCGACTTTCGGAGTTTATTAAGAAGCAAGCAATAACTGGAACCGTAACATAGAGAAAAGAACAGCTGTGGTGTTAGATCTGGACTCAAATCCTAGCTCCATTATTTACCAGCTATGTGATCTTTTCTAGCTTCTTCTGACCTCAGTTTCCTCCTCAGTTAAACAGAGGTCATCCTAGCTACCTCCTAGCCTCATCATGAAGATGAAATGAGAAAACAAATGGAAAACAGATCCTGGCTCACAGCAGGTGCCCCAAAATGTTTCCTTCCTGTCCTGCCGGCCTCAGCGCAGCCTCTTCTCTAAGGCTTTCTGGGATGCCCTCTCCTCCAGGGAGAGGAATTCAGCAAACTACAGCACCCCCACCTCTCAGGATTTTGAAAAAAAGAATTCCAAGAGAATGTTGATGAGAAAATGACTCTGGACCCCTGCTCCAGAGAAACAAAATTATTTACCTGACTTGACTTTTAAAAAATAGATTTATTTGAAGAGCCACTCCAATTTAGTGAAGAATCAGGGGAGGAAATTAAGGGAGTTACAAAAGAGAATTAGATTTTTTAAAAAACAGATACCTCTGTTTGGGAGGTACACTCTGAGAGCCTGAGGTGGGTAGATCATTTGAGGTCAGGAGTTCTAGACCAACCCCGGCAATATGGTGAAACCCCATCTCTACTAAAAATACAAAAATTAGCTGGGTGTGGTGGTGCATACCTCTAGTTCCAGCTACTTGGGAGGCTGAGGCAGAAGAATCACTTAAACCTGGGAGGCAGAGGTTTTAGTGAGCCAACAATATGCAACACTGTACTCCAGCCTGGGTGACAGAGAAAGACCCCATTTCAAAAACAAACAAACAAACAAACAAACAAACCAAAAAAAAAAACAACAACTAGGCCATCTGTTTTTATTTAAGGCATCAGAAGCAAGAAAATGAAGGGCTCCGTGTGCCCATAGAGCAGGTGGGATTTTGCTATAACAGAGAAGCATCAGCGGCTTTCAGGCAGGAGGCTCTCTCCCTCCCTCTGTCAGTCCATCTTGGAGATGCCTGGGGCAGGCAGGTGCCCAACCAAGCACAGAGGTGGCGAGAACCACTACAGTGGCGGCTCTGGAGAAGAGGCCAAGAAATGGACATTTCAGTGAATGAAACTCCCTAAACCACTCCTGCTTTCAAAGCTTGCTCCATGTCTCACATTGATGTGGAACAATGAGCTGAAATGAGAAACAAATCAACTCAGGCTGCCCTCCCTCCTGTATTCCAGGCAGTGTTCTACTCTACACAGCAAGTACCAAAACAAGTCTTCCTTTCTTTCCTGCCTGTAGTAATTTTCACAAGTTTACCTCCAAGGAGTTCATTTTCATTCAGACTTCCAGCCAGGGCTCACCAATGCCACCTTCTGCGCTCCCCTGCCTGTTCTCATCCTGGTCCTTAATGTGCTCACATTCCTGACACCTGTGAGATGTCAGGCTGCCCTCTCCATTACAACCTGACCTGGGATTTGGATGCTGTCCCTTCCTGCACATTTGTGTAAATTAGGCTGCATCCCTGGGAACTGGAACTCCCTATTCTAAACACTTGGATGTCAGACAGGCCTGGATTTGTTCATGGCCAGATAAATAACTGTGGCCAGTATGTGTGTGTGCTATGTTTATAAAGCACTTTTGGGTCAGATACGGTGGCTCACACCTGTAATCCCAGCACTTTGGGAGGCCGAGGTGAGCGGATCATGAGGTCAAGAGATTGAGAGCATCCTGGCCAACATGGTGAAAACCTGTCTCTACTAAAAAGACAAAAATTAGCTGTGTGTGGTGGTGCGGGTCTACAGTTCCAGCTACTCAGAAGGCTGAGACAGGAGAATCGCTTGGACGGGGGAGACAGGTTGCAGTGAGCAGAGATTGCGCCACTGCACTCCAAACTGGGTGACAGAGCAAGACTCCATCTCTAAATAAATAAATAAATAAAGCACTTTTGTTGTTAGGTTTATTTAAGCTTCACAGTTCTGCAGTGAGGAAGGAAATAATCCTGTTTTATGGAGGAAAAGCTGAGGTTTGGAACAGTTAAGCCCAAGATTACACAGCTACTAAGGGACAGAGTGGGACTTCAAATCCAAGTTGCTTGATCCCAAACTCAGTGCACGCCCACCATTTCATTCTACCTTCTGATTCTGATTGACGTTAGAAATTAAACTTTCATATCCCTAAATTGGATTTTCAAGTAAGCAAACAAGATCTCTTCCTACCTAAGCACCTAGCAAATTATCCGGAGAACTAATTGCAAAGAGCTGAAGCCACACAGATTGTTACAAACTCAGCTGTCTCCCCACCCATTCCAATGTATTTGCCATGAGTTTTTAAAAAAATGTTAAAAGTTGCCAATTATGGAACTCATTCTAGGTGCCAGGCCCTGTGCTACTCTCATTACATCCATTGTCCCCCTTAATCTTCATAACAGTTGTCTAAGATAGGCATTATTCCCATTTTGCACACCAGGAAACTGAGGCTCAAGAAGTCAAATATCAGCTGTGCACGGTGACTCACGCCTGTAATCCCAGCACTTTGGGAGGATCAACTGAGGTCAGGAGTTCGAGACCAGCCTGTCCAACATGGTGAAACCCTGTCTCTACTAAAAATACAAAAATTAGCCAGGCATGATGGTGGGCACCTGTAATCCCACCTATTTGGGAGACTGAAGCAGGAGACTCACTTGAACCTGGGAGGCAGAGGTTCCAGTGAGCTGAGATCTTGCCACTGCACTGCAGCCTGGGTGACAGGGAGAAACTGTGTCACAAAAGAAGAAGGAGAAGGAGAAGGAGAAAGGAGGAGGAGGAGGAGGAGGAGGAGGAGGAGGAGGAGGAGGAGGAGAAGGAGAAGGAGGAGGAGAAGGAGAAGGAGAAGGAGAAGGAGAAGGAGAAGGAGAAGGAGAAGGAGAAGGAGAAGGAGAAGGAGAAGGAGAAGGAGAAGGAGAAGGAGGAGAAGGAGTTATCAAATATCTGGAGCCAGGATTCAAGCCTGGCCCTTGTCATACATGCTTGGCCTCTTGCACCCTCCTTACCTGAGGCCTGCATCCCTGATTTGCCTGTCAGAGAAGTCAGAGAATCTGGACCTTTTAGCTTTCATTCTAGGAAGCTGGAATCATCTCTTTCTAAGGTGGCCCTAAGGGAGATGCCCCAGGGAGAACAGGGTTCTGATGAGGGATGGAGGAGAGGGGTGTAATGCTGTACTAGCTTTGGTCACTAACACAGCTACTAAAGTAGCTTTGATAGAGACCTATCAGTGAAGAACCCGGGTCAACCTCCACTCCCTTGATCGGGTACAACATGCTCTGGGAAGCTGTGGCTCATTAGGGATCCAGAGTCTCTCACAGGTCATTCCTATAGGATGTGTTTGTACAAGTTCTATTTGTAGATTTGCGTCTTTATCACAGTCTGAGGAATCTGGATTTCTGCCTTCCCCAAACTCCCCCTTCTCCTCAACTTGGTTTGTCTGTGGGAGTCAGGAAACCCAGTGTGTCCTCTTGACAGAGGGGAGGTTGTTCCAACAACATGAAAATGGGTGGTCTTTATTCGTAACGTGGGACTAGGTCACCAAGATGACAAACTGGTAACAAGGTCTTAGGTGACCAGTGCCCAGCATCTCCCAAAGAGTCCCCTCTACTAAGCAGGAAGTCTGAAGTTGTTTCTCTAGGATGGTCCCCAAATCTTGTCCATTTTCCATCACAGGCCTGAGCGGGAAACTGCAACAGACTCTTGATTTGGATAGGGAAACTGTTTATTTAGTGGGGATATCTTGTAGTGAACTGGTTCCCGTGAGCAGATTTTCCCATGATCCGCATCCTATCCATGGTGATTTCTCAGCAAGAAAATCAGCCCAGCCACAATGAGGCCAATCACAAATAGGTCCCAGCATGGTCCAATGGTGGTGTCCATTTCCAGCCATTTCCATCTCATTGTGAACTGCTGGCAAAGATATTCTCTCAAAAACAATCCAAGCTTCCCACCTCCACTCAGAGCCATCATCTCTTTCCAAACCCGCTGCTACCAACTCTTCTCCCACCCATTCCCTTTGCCTCCTTCAGTCTTGGAAGACACAATCTTTGCTTGCTTACAGCTTCCACAGTGGGCTAAAATAGCACCTTTAGAATAGTTGCAAAGATTTAGATATTTTACTTTTTTTTCAAACTGTAGCTCTTTGTGGTACCCCTTGCCACCTGCTGACTGCCTACCAGTCTCAGCTATTGATAGTAATAACTGTTTTGGATAAGTATATATAGGACATATCACTGTGCTTAAGGCTTTGAATGTATTGTGTGCTAGAAAAGAACATCTGCTGAATAAATTAATTGCTTATACTATGAAGCTTCAACAAATACTCAATAGAACACGCAGAATTACTCTGCATGGCAAGTGTAAGACTTTGAATTTTACTTCTCAAAGGAAAGCCAGTCCACAAGAGACTCCCTTAAAGGGCCTTCTCACTTTGTCCCTAAGAGTTTGCTCACTGGAGATTTTCAGAGATTTAGGACCCATTCGAGACAAACCTACATTAAAAAACAGGGTATCTTGGAGCAGATACATTGTTTCCAGTTTCATGAGGGCGAAGAATACAGGTATGTGGGCATCTGGACTCGTTTGAGCAGCCATGTCGTACAATCTCCTGGCCAAGTGAATGTCCTAGAAGGAGAAGAACAGCCCATACACATCAGATTCTGTAGGGATAAATAAATAGACACGATTGTTCAAAATATCAAATGTAATTAAGGTTACAGATCTTCAGATAGGGAGATTATCATGGATTATCCGGGTCGACCTCAGATTTTCAAATGAACCTTTAAACAGAATTATCTCAGGGCTGGAGGTGGAAGAAAGAGAGATATGGTGGAGGGAGACTTCAGAGAGATTCTAAGCATGACAGACTCAACTTGCCATTGTTGGAAGGGGCCACATAGAATGAGAAGGAATTTGGACAGCCAAGAAAGAAACAAGGATCTTGGTCCTACAACCTCAAGAAACTGAATTCCACCAAGCAAATGGAATGAGCCTTGAAGTGGATTCTTCCCCAGAGCCCCCAATAAAGAATAGCCTTGATTTTAGTCTGGCAAAACCTCAAGCTGAAGACTCAGTCAAATCACCTGGGCTTTTGGCCTACAGAAACTATGAGATAATAAGCTTGTGTTGTTTTAAGTCACTAAATTTGTGGTGATTTGTTATAACAAGCATAGAAAACGAATGCAATCTCCAAAAAGCTTTCTTGGATACCCATGGAACAACTCCTAGTCATGATTCCAATGAAAAGGGTGGAGAATAGGGCCAGGCACAGGGGCTCACACCTGCAGTCCCAGCACTTTGGGAGGCCAAGGCAGGTGGATCACTTCAGGACAGGAGTTCAAGACCAGCCTGGCCAATGTGGTGAAACCTCGTCTCTACTACAAATACAAAAAGTAGTTGGGTATGGTGGTGCATGCCTGTTGTCCCAACTACTCGGGAGGCTGAGGCAGCAGAATAGCTTGAGCCCAGGAGGCAGAGGTTGCAGTGAGCCGAGATGGAGTACCACTGCATTCCAGCCTGGAGGACAGAGTGATACTCCATCTCAAAAGAAAAAAAAATGGCAGAGAACACTAGATACTAATTTTACAGTTCTCTAAAATAAATCAGTATAAAGATAGTTAGTAATCATCATCTAAAAATTCTCATTATCTTCATAGTACTTATACCCTAAGTTTTAGAATTTATTCATTGTTTGTCTCCAGGTCCTTGAAAACAAGGGCTTGGACTGTCTGTTCACCTCTGAATTCCCAGTTCTTAATGAAGTGCCTAGTATGCAGTAGGTCTTTGATAATACTTACAGGATGTTGGAGAAACTATTTTTGGCTTTCCTATTGAAGACAGATTCCTCAAATGACATAGTACTATATTTTCAGGAACTTTTTTTTTCATTGACTTATGCCACGGCTTTCTTTTTCATCTACTCATGCCTTGTTTTATGTGTTTGCTTTATTTTTGGTTTGCCCCAACAGAGTAACCATAGGTGAAAGTGCCCTGGGCAAGTCCCAGAACTAGATTTTGCTTGGGTGCCCAGGGGCTATTTTCAAAATAAAGGGAAGAGGAAGAGAAATTTTTCACAAACTGTGGTCATCCTAATATCTGTACTTCTTGCTCTATTACTTCAACTTTGATACTTGTGAATCTTTGAGGTCTCTGCTAAAACTGTTTATTTTGGTGGTGGGGGGGGGTATCTTCTCTCAGCTGTGTTCTGCTTATTATGGCTTAAATTTTTTTCCAAAGCTTTATGCTCTGGTAAATTGATTTGTTGAAGAAAGAGGAATGTTCTTGCTTAAAATAAAATTCAGGAGATTGGAACAAATATTCCTGGCAACATAAAATAGATGTAAAAACCTAATTTGTGTCTCTGATTCCAACAAATTCGGTGTTCATTTGAAAGCACCCTGCAGATGATAACAGCTGGGTCAGCTGCACATGTGAAAGGCATATTGACTTCAATAGGACGTTCGGGGAAAAGCAGCCTTTGTCGGTATCTCAGGTATCCATTCTTATTTCTTGTATTGAGGCAATCAGTAGTTATTCATTTATTTCTTGAGGTAGAAGCATTACAATTCAGTCACTTAGTATTTTATATTAAAAAATAGTAGGAATGCCATTAAAGTGGGAAGAACTCACTCCTTGTCCAGGAGACCTCACAATTTTCAGTGTGTGTGGGGCTGGGGGGTGATGAATGTGAAAACCTTTCTTTAAAATTCCCAGAGAAGGAAATTCCTGAATGCTTCTAGCTAACTAGGGCAACTCACATAAAATAAATTTTAGTACTAGACTAGAAAAGACTCCTCATTCTTTGATCCTATTTAGTAAAAAAATCTAAGTCATGTAAACAAAAAAATCTCCTCTTGATGGTGTTTTGATGATGACCACAGTTCATTAAATGAGAAGACACTGCATACCCAGTCCACTTAGATTTAACTTTTCTGTGGTACGTTTGAGTTTATTTTGCTTACAGTTCAGTGATTAAAGAGGTTATGTAAACCAAGCTGCAGACTCTTGTTAGAAAAGCATGTTTCTATCAAAAATGTTATGTGGGTACTGCCCAATATTCAGATGTTTAAAATAGTTTCTTTTAATTCAAAGATACAGAATTCTCCTGCAACAAAGTAGCTGGTTTATGAAAATTGTACAATTACCCAATGTAGGAGTTTTTCAGCCCCAAATCTTTGAATGTCATAAAAAAAAAATTCTTATACTGGGACATAGCATGTGAATGGGAAGGTCATTTTTTAATAAGTTGGTCTAATTTTTTTTTAATAAATATACCATATGTTAATTAGAAGGAACTTTGGAAATATAGAACTGAACAAATAAGAAAAAAAGCCACCCATAATCTCACTGTACAGAGGTAACTACTGATATTTTATGCACATTTTTCCAGAATTTTATGTATATTCATATGTACATACTTTTAGAAATTTTTTACTCAGTATAATATTGCATCTTCTGCTTTATTAACCTAACAGTATACTTGAAATAATATGCTGTGTCCTAATATATTCCACTAGTCTATAATTTTTTTTTTGAGACAGGGTCTTGCCATGTCACCCAGGCTGAAGTGTGGTGGCAGGCAATTGGCTCACTGCAGCCTCTGCCTCCTTGAGTTCAAGCTATCCTCCCACCTCAGCTTCTCAAGTAGCTGAGATTATAGGGGACTACAGGTGTGCGCCACCATACCTGGCTCATTTTTTTTTCTTTTCTGTAGAGATGGGGTTGACATCCAGGCTAGTCTTGAACTCCTGGACTCAAGGGATCTGCCCACCTCGGCCTCCCAAAGTACTGGGATCACAGGCATGAGCCACTGTGCCCTGCCTACTCGATAGTATTTTTAGTGGCTGCATAGTATATTGTAATAATGATTGATACATATTAAATACTTACTGTGTGCCAGTTACCACTGTCATTTAATCCTCAGGACAATTCTATAGGTCAGGTGATACTATTAACTACATTTTGAAAATAAAGATATTGAGGCACAGAGAGAGAGTCACTTACTCAAATTTATATGACTTGCAAGTGGCAGAGCTGGGATTCAAATCCCAGATTGTCCCTAGATTGTCTGCTTCTAGTATTCTCATTTAACCACTAGGCCAGAAAGTACATTGTGGAATGGTAAACCACTACACAGTAACATATATAACATATCTTCTATTTTGGAACATTCTCGTTACTTGTAGAAATTTTTTCTGTAACTAATAAAGCTATACACACACAAAATATTGTTTTTGCATGTTTCTGATTATTTCCCTAGGTGATATTCATAATATTTCATGTTTATTTCATGAAAAGTTATGATCATTTCTAAGAAATGTGTTTTCTGTCCTGTCATATTTCTGAGAGGGCCATTTTAAATACCTAATTTTAACTTAGCCTTTCCAAAAAATAATTCTGGTGTTTAAAGCTTCAGCTGTAACACTGCATGGGTGGTCAGACCAGGCAAATGAGAAATAAAAATGCATTGTGTCATAATTACTTTTATTTTTGACAGGTTTATTTATAATTTATTTGGTAGATGTGGTTTTGTTTTCTCTGCAGAATCCAAAAATACATGTTATCTAGTAGGTCTACATATATGTATTTGAAACTCTTTCCCGAAGGATAATTCCCCCGACCTTTTTGCCTTTCCTATCCATTGTCTTTAAACAGGCCTGCTTTCTTCCATTTAAAAATGCTGTCATATGATTCTCATACTCCACGGTACAAAAATACTTTTGAACAGGATCTGACAGTCCTGATTCCCCTACCTGAGTTAACTATTTCCTCTTTAACATACTTATAGTACTTTATTTTTAATTCTTTTCAAGTGTGCAGATGCCTATACACGACCGTCATTTTAGGCTTTACCATAGCTATAGACGTGTGTTTTCGGTAGTGGACTGTGAGCTCTTTGAAGGCTGTCTTATTCTTATTGTATCCCCAGAACCAAGCAAAGCACTTCCTGAGATAGGAAATAGTCCATGGTAAATATTTGAGTGAATGAATGAATGAATGAATGAATGAATGAAAAGCAGAGTGCAATACCATGGTGGTTTAGAATTAGATACCTTGGCTGGACACAGCGACTCACACCTGTAATCCCAGCACTTTGGGAGGCCAAGGCAGGTGGATCACAAGGTCAAGAGATCAAAACCATCCTGGCCAACATGGTGAAACTTCGTCTCTACTAAAAAGTTACAAAAATTAGCTGGGCATGGTGGCACGTGCCTGTAGTCCCAGCTACTTGGGAGGACGAGGCAGGAGAATCACTTGAACCCAGGAAGCAGAGGTTGCAGTGAGCCAAGATCATGCCACTGCACTCCAGCCTGGCGACAGAGCAAGACTCCGTCTCAAAAAAAAAAAAAAAAAAAAGAAGTCGATACCTTTAAAATCTAGGGTTCCTTAAGGATTCCTAGAGGAGATGACACTTGGTTTTCAATGGGCATAAATATGGAGGAATATCATTCCAGGAAAAAGAGTGATATCTCAGAAGGGCTCAGGTCAAGATCTTCGAGGGAAAGGAGAAAGTAGCCTAGAATCTACATAGGGCAAAGTAGTGTATGACACCACTATTATCAAGGTAGGCTAGGTCACCAGGGGCTTTGAATGTGGAATAGAAGTCTGGACTTCATTTAGCAATAAAAGGAAATAAGATTCTTTTTTTATTTGTGTGTTTGCTTGTTTGTATTTTTTGGTGGTTTTATCTGGGGGAGAGGGTAGATACAGGGGTGGGTAGGATGGAGGAGGTAACAATATCAGAGTTATACTTTATCAAGAATGAGCTGGTAGTGCTTTGTTAGATGAATTATGTATTAAGATAATGCTATCTGTAACAAATCCCCAAACAGAAGTTTATTTCTCCCTTTTTCAGCATTCCAATACGTGTGTTCCTGGTCGGTGGCAAACATTCTTCATGTGGTTATTGTGGGGCCCAAGCTCCTTCCATCACGTGGTTTTGTGATCCCATAAAGCCTCTGTATCTCCTGCTGCCTTCAGGTGATGGTTGGGAAAGAGACTGGGGGTAGCCCCGTCTACTTCTTGGCTGCCTTAGCCCAGAAGTGACACCCTTCACTTTCACTTCCATGCCCTTGTGAGAACTAACATGTGGATCAAAGGGGCTGGAGAACCTAGTCTTTGACTAGGCAGGCACACCCTAGTACAAACTATGGAGGGAGGATTACAAATCTTTGGTAAACAGAGTCATCTTGGTCACAGATTTAAAGGGAGAACACTGGAGTTAAAGACCCCTGGGTAGTCTGTGCTACAAGCTGAGGTGAGCAGAAAGTCAGATCTGAGCCAAGTTAAAGAAAAAAAGGAATGGTCGGGGGGATGGGCAACAAGCTTTGTTCATGGTGCAATTTCTGAAGTACTTACAAATCAAATGTCAATTGAAAAATGGTTTCTTTGTTTTTTTTTTTTTTTTTTTTGAGAGGGAGTCTCGCTCTGTCACTCACGCTGGATCTTGGCTCACTGCAATCTCCTCCAGGGTTCAAGCTATTCTCATGGCTCAGCCTTCCGAGTAGCTGTAATTACAGGCACATGCTACCTTGCCTGGCTAATTTTTGTATTTTTAGTAGAGACAAGGTTTTGCCATGTTGGCCAGGCTGGCCTCAAACTCCTGACCTTGAGTGATCTGCCCACCTTGGCGTCCCAAGGTGGATTACAGGCATGCTGGGATTATGTAATGCTGGGATTACAGGCATGAGCCACCGCACCTGGCCCCCTGAGAAACAGTTTCATAACAACTTGTGTGTGAGTGCTTGTGTTTCTAAACTACTTCAGGTCCTCTCCCAGTTTCTCCCCAGGTATTATTAAGTGTTCCCGGAACAATGAAGCGGTCAGTCCTGGCCCACAGTTTAAGTCAAGGAGCTTGTTAGCTGAGATGCTTCTCAGTGAAGCTACTAGGATAATTCACCTGCATCATCCCAGCCCCAACTTTTTTTCTGAAAGACGGATGATAACAACCATGACCTATATTTTAATCTTGATTTATCAAGAGATGATCTACACCTAACTTTCTTCCCCAGAAGTCTTAAATGTCTGCATGTTTATAAAGTATTAATACATATCACCTTCTTTGATTCTCAAAGATACTGTAGTAGTCATATATACTCATCTTTCTCACTGGTTTGCATGAGGATTAACTATGAAAGAGGATTTCGAAGTGCCTCGCTGAAGAAATGCTTAATTACTTAATGACTTAACGGCTGGGAAGGCCGACTCTCCTATCCTCTTTGCTTTTATTGGAACAAGCTTTGGGCTTTTAATTATCAGGATATTCATTTTAAGAATTAGAGAAGGCGATAGCTCCTTGTTAATTTGACTCTGAGATGGCAAGATACCCCTGGGTACTCAGTTATTAATTTCCTAATTGCTAAACAAACAAACAAACAAACAAACAAAAAAAACCAAATAAAAACAAAGGGCAATCGTTCCTCATTAGCTCAGTCTAAAATTCTCATATCCAGGTAGGAGGTTGAGTAGCCCCCCAATTTTTTTAAAATGTAGATACTTTCTATAGAAAAAAATAGACTTATAACTGAAAGAGACTGATCAAATGAACTAACCATGATTTAACAAGAACCCTGGCAGAAAAGAACAGAAAACTGGCCAGAGAGAAACTTAAAAGTGTTTTCCTGAATGTATAAAAAGTATGTCTTAACAACTACTATTTGACATTGTGAAGAAAGTACTTAGGAGAGAGATCAGTGGTGACTCCAAAGAGGAAAACCAAACCCTCTGACAGTCCGCCAGCCAGGCACTAGCCGGCAGTGTGCCTTCCCCGGCATTGCTGGCTGGGTCCTGAGAGGACACCCTGCCTGAACCCCAGGGACTCAGGCGAAATGGCCTCACTTTGGTTCGAAAACAGCTGTCAGGGCGAGCAAGTCCTTTTTGAATAACATGGTGGTGGTGGGATAGGAAAGCCAACATGAATTTAACACATGGAGTGGGGTCACTTTATCCCTTCTATAGACAGTGCCTCTCCTGTGTTATGTTTTGCATGGGGATTGATGAGTAAAGAAAGGCTTTAATCTTATTGAAGCCTTACTTAGAAGTTGCTCTAATTCCCTTCTGATCTAAGTAACAGTCATTCTACACACTGTTGGACTACAAAGCCCTTTCACAAAAGGTTATTCATTTTATCCTTAAAGCCTGGGGCAGGGCAGGTATTTGTTTTACTGAGGTGGATAATGAGTGAGGGGATCGGGGTAACTAAATAACATCCCAAGAATCATCCAATTTAGGTAATTCATCCTGTCCCATTCTTACCCACATTTTACAAACATAGGAAGCTTACACCTGCTAGAAATGGGGAAATAGACTGGATTTGGATTTGACATTCTTTCCACTGCTTAGGGTGCCAGGGCTAATGAAAAATGATCAGCCAAAAGGCAGGCTGCAGGGGAGGACAGGACGGCAGGGATCCATACCACTGAATAAGAAACCTCTGGCTGCACTGTGCACCATTAGCAGTTCTCAAATAGGAAATTCCCTACCAGTAATTCTCAATTACCAGCACAACTGGAAGAAAGAGGAGAGCACAGGATAGCCAGTAATTCCTGTGTTATTTGGCTCTAGAAATGCAGCCAGGAATATAAATACGGAAAAGAAGCACATGCTTGACACCAAGACTGACTCACTGTGAGGACCACTCTTTCACCAAAAAACAGGGGCAGGCAGGGCTGGGTTCAAATTCTGGCTCCACCATTGATGAGCTCTTGACCAAATGACTTAATCTCTCTGCACAGTGGCTTCCTGATTCATACACTGTGAACAGTTCTGGGGCTTATCTCATTGAGTGGTTGTGTGATGCAAATGACAGAAACACACAGCCCGCTTAACCCAGTCCTGGCTATTACTATCAGCATTGATACTGAATACACCTTTCTCACCCTGTGAGACCCTAACGTTGTCTTCTGCCTTAGTTTCACTCACTGTCTAAGAGATTTATTCAATACCACCTTGTAGTGCTGGCTCTTTTTCTAAATGAATATGACTCATCACCTCAATTCAAGTGTAACCTCGGGGGACTGGAGATTCACTCTCTTGGGCCTTTCTAGAGTATCCAGCACTGCATCATGTACACAGTGGGTGCTTCATAAGACATTTCTGGATTAATACTACCTTGGTATCCAGCTTTGGTCTCTTCTTACTTTGTCCTTGTTCCTGAGAGCCTGAGAACCAGTGGAAATTTTAATGGAAAAAAAGGCCCAGAGGTGAAAAGGAATGGACAGGGCCTACTGGGAAAAGGATGTGCTGGAAAAAGCAGGATCTTATGAATTGAACTGGCCTAGATTAGATCTCTTCTACTCACTAGTTATGTCCTTGGCATAAATGGAGAAAATAACATCTATCTCATAGGGTTCGTATTACGGCAAGTAATATGTATTGGCGCATGGGAGAGGTTTGGCAAATGTTAAGTCCTTTCCTTCCTTCCTCTACGTTGACGACATAAATGAAATTCAAAACATTTACACATTTTCTCTTCCCACACAGCTGTCATTACTAGATTTGAATTATTATTACCAACAGAATTACCTTTGCAATGCCTAAGCCGTGCTCATACATATAAGCCAGATTGAACATGGCTTGTGCGCTGTGGTATTTGTCGGCTGCAATGCTGTAGTGTGTGGCTGCTGTTTGATAGTCTTTCTTAGTCCCATAGCCATAGTAATGGTAATCTCCAATTTTTACTCTAGCAAATGCATTGCCTGATAGAAAAAGAAGAGTCATAACTCAAATGATTCACATATAGTTCTCAGGAATTCAGCCTAATGATCTTATTTCAGTCCTTTAAAACATATATGTATCTGTAATCAAGTATAAAAAAACATTCAGAACCCCAGAATTGAAATTAGATATACATTATGGAATACAAATATAACACTCAGTGCTAACTGTCTTCATGATAGTGTGACATCCATGGTATAGTACAAATGTTCTTAAAAAACGAAAAATTACCAATTTTGCCTTTTAATTTTTTAAAGTAGGTCAACTCTTGGGAAGCTGGACCCCATTCATCCCATTCTCAGACGTCACTCCTGAAGCTTTACTCTCTTGCGTCACCACTGTCTCCCTCTTTCCCAGATCAATCCCATCCACCATTCAAACACGCTCTGGCATCTTCTATGAACAAAAATAAACCCTCTCTTTATCCTGTGGTGTCTCCTTCTTGCTCATGCCCCATTTCTCTGCTCCCCTTCACACTGAATCTTTTCAAAAGTGTGTTCTATACTCACTGTCTCCAAAGCTTCACCTCCCACGGACTCTTCAACCCATTCCAACCCAGTTTCTGCCCTGCTGCCAGTGAAACTGCTGTTTTGAAGGCGGCAGATGACCTCCATGCAGCCAAGTCCATTGCCATATCTCTGTCCTCATCTTACCTGACCTCCGAGCAGCACTGGAGTGATGGGATCCAGCTGCCCAAGCACTGTCCTCTGGGAGCATTGATGGCACTGCCTGCTCTAGATTTCCCTTCTACCTCATGGGGTCTTTATTTCAGACTCTTCCCTGACTCCTCCTCTACCCACTTCCTAAATGTGGAATGTCAAGGGCTTGTTCCTAACTCCTTTTTTTCTCTTTCTTCTTTCCCCTCTTTCTCTTCTCTCACCTCTCCTCCCTGCCTCTCTCTAATGCTCTGCTCCATCTCAACTCTTTCTCTGGGTAACCTCATTTAGTTCCATTGACAGCCTCTATTAACTATTTCTAAATTTATATCTACTATCTCTCTCTCCCTGAGGCCCAGACTCATAATTGCCTTCTTGATGTCTCCATGTGAATTTCAAACTTAAAATGCCCAGTAGAGATTTCCTAGCACCCTACACCTCTTCCTCCAAACAAAATCATCAGTTTCTTCCCAGTACCAGTGCCACCATTGTTCAGGCAATAAGTCTAGGGGAATTATTCCTAGTTCTTTTTCCCTCACCTCCACCAGCCAATTCATCAAGTCCTGTTGGTTCTGCCTACAAAACACAATTAACTCTTGACATCTCCCCCACTACCTATTCAAGCCTACAATACTACAATAGGCTTTGAACTCTTCTTTTATCTTCACATTCCAACCCATTCTCCACACAACAGCCAGGGTGATGTTTTAATTATTTTAAATTTGTTTATTTGAGACAGGGCCTGGTTTTGTCGCATAGGCTGTAGTGCAATGGCGTGATCCCAGTTCACTGCAACCTCAGCCTCCCAAACTCAAGAGATGCTCCTATCCCAGCCTCCAAGTAGCCAGGACTACAGGCATGCACACTGTGCCCGTATTCACCATATTGTTCTGGCTTGTCTCGAACTCCTGGGCTCGAGTGATCCTCCCAAATCAGCCTACCAAAGTGCTGGGATCACAGGTGTGAGTCACTGCGCCCAGGCAGAATTTTATATACATATATATATATATATATATATATATATATATACACACACACACACACACACATACACACACACACACACACATATATCACTGTATATATATTTTTTATATTACATCTAAAATATGTACATATACACATACATTTTTTATATTACATATATGTATCTGTAATATATATATTATATATGTAATAGTGTTATTGAGATACAATTTGCATACTATACAATTCACCCATTTAAAGGGTACAATGAAATGGTTTTTCATATATTCACAGAGATGTACAAGCATTACCACAATTTTAGAAATTTTAAAGTATTTTAATCATTCTAGAAAGAAACCTCATACTGTTTAGCTAGAAGGTGATCTTTTTAAAATGTAAAATCTAGTTATGTTATTTCCTTGTGTAAAATCCCCCAATGACTTCACTTTGCCTTTGAATAATAGTCAGACTCCTTATGACCTACAAGTCATGTCTCACCTGCCCTCTTCACAAGCTCCCTGCATTCGATTCCTCAAGGCCCTCTGCCTGGCAGGTTTGGAATTCTCTGACTTTTCATGTGGCTGGCTTCTCATCATTCTCAGAAGCTCCAATGCCACTTCTCTTCAAGAGGCCTTCTCTGACTGTCTTATCTAAAGTGCCCCTCAGCCCCAACCCCAGAAGTTATCTACCTCATCTCCATGTTTTTCCTTCAGTACCTAAAGGAATAAATTCCAAAGGATGTTAGGCACTACATCCTTTGGAATTTATTCCTTTAGGTACTGAAGTTCTAATCTTCTAGAATCTTCTATTAAAATGCAGATACATCTAAAAGATGTAATACCATATGCCATCTTTAAGTCTCTCGGAGTACAGCTGACATTATAAATTTTTTATTATTATTTTATTTTTGAGACAGAATCTCACTTTGTTGCCTGGGCTGGAGTGCAGTGATGTGATCACAACTCACTGCAGCCTCAATCTCCCGGGCTCAAGAGATCCTCCTGCCTCAGCCCCTTGAGTAGCTGGAACTATAGGCACACACCATCACACCCAACTCCTTTTATTATTTTTTATTTTTGTAAAGATGAGGTCTCACTATGTTGCCCAGCCTAGTCTTAAACTACTAGCCTCAAGCAGTTCTCCCACCTCGGCCTCTGAAAGTGCTGGGATTACAGGCATGAACCACTGCACCTGGTCTATAAAATTCTTAGCTGGCAAAGACATTAGTTTTCAGGGCTTGCTTTCCAGATGCTTCCAAATGTACAGGTCAGTAACTGGGATCAAGAACTTGTAAGAATGGTGCCCAGAAAAGGGGACTGAGTGGGAACCAGGAGGCTCATGGAGCCCTGAAGAGAAGTCTATTCCATCTCTAATTTTGTCCAAAGCTGCCCTCCTTTGACCCTAAGATTCCTCCTGGGCTATAATCACAAAGAGATAGGATAATTCTGTGCATTTTCAAGTTTTACAAGCAGTAAGCAGGATCCCCGAAGCCTCTAAGAATGGAAGGCAGTGAACAAGCTGGTTCTTGGGAGGGTTCAGCTCCGCCCTAATGAGGAGGCAGATTGACAGTATGTGGTGATCCGGACGGGCTCCTGTGGGGATCAACTGACAGCAGAGGGATTTCCACCTCAATTTCACAGTCACAGGGCAGAGACTGAGTCCTGATGGCTCAGCACCCTCAGCTTCACATGAGTAACTGCTAAAATAAGCGTGGTCAGTGACTAATTGGAAAATTTCATTATTAGATTTCCTAACCCCAAGTGGTCCACTTAGCAGCCATATCTTCAGGAACACTTATGCCTGACCTCTCTTATGACACATGATTATTTTTAGCAGCCTGACTTTTTTATATTGAGGAATTCAGTTTAGTATCAATGTTCCCTTGTTTTCAATGTCCCTTTTCCTTGTTGCAATTTCCACACCATTTCCTGGCTTGGAATAAATCTGTATTTATTGTAATTGAGCTGATTGGCCATGGCTGAGAGATTGCGGGTATTGTTTCCCCACTCTAAATGAGGTCTTCATTGCATTTTATAAAACATAGACTTTTTAAGGGGAATGTCTCACTAAAATTTCACTGATGGCTTGTTGCTGTGCTACCAGCTCAGCTGGATGTGAGAAAGCACCACTATGACTTTTTCCTCTGCTTCATATTAGTGTCAGCTGAGACTCATTTTTTATCCTATTTACTTCCTGTGAAAAGGGATGATTTGGCCTTAGCATAAGACAATTTTAAGAAATCTAATTGGAAGCAAAATTGCTCTCTTATTGCAAGAGAGTTTCTCACATATCCAAATGCCAATGTTGACAGCTTTGCAGCATTTCTCTGCCTTTAATAATATAATTTTAGGGGAAAAATAGTAAGAGACATTGCAATGCAATGTAAATACCACCTGTCAATGCTTTCCTCACCACGGGTATCTTATATTTCTTATCCATGTGATGCCAGCAAGCAAGATATGGAAACTCAAGGAAAAGGGAGAGGATCTTGCTACGTATCTGTCTTGTTTTGTTTTGTTTTTTTCTTACGTACTAATGATTGTAGTAAAGATTTAAAGTTTATGGTAGTCATCAATGTGATATTTTAATAGAGAAATCACATGAGCCTCAGATACATACATAAGTAATTTTGACTCTAAACTCATTGAGACATGGGTCACGTCTCTGATTAGTTCAGTCAAGAATGCAGCAATGAGTGAAGCCAGACCAAGAAAATTGGTTTCTTTCTTCTTCTTCTTCTTTTTTTTTTTTTGAGACGGAGTTTTGCTCTTGTTACTCAGGCTGGAGTGCAATGGCGCGATCTCGGCTCACCACAACCTCCGCCTCCTGGGTTCAGGCAATTCTCCTGCCTCAGCCTCCTGAGTAGCTGGGATTACAGGCACGCGCCATCGTGCCCAGCTAATTTTTTGTAATTTTTGGTAGAGATGGGGTTTCACCATGTTGACCAGGATGGTCTCGATCTGTTGACTTCGTGATCCACCCGCCTCGGCCTCCCAAAGTGCTGGGATTACAAACGTGAGCCACCGTGCCAGGCGAAAACTGGTTTCTTGAGTAAAATTGTATATTTCAAAGAACTGCTCTGGTGCCATGGAGACAGAGCCATAGAAAAATTCCTATGGTTTGCTGAACCAGGGACCTTGATAATAATGAGGAAAATAAATTCCTGGAAATGATCTCTAACCAAAGACTGATCCCAACATCAGTATAGTTTGAAATGCCACGTACTAGATATTCTGCCCCTTGCTGCCTATGTGCACAAAAACGCAGCTAAAGCAAACCTGATGAGTAACAGAGGACAGGGACTGGGTATGTGCTTATTTTTATCTGGGTTCCATACCTTGAATGGCAGCTCGATTCCATAGGAGAAGTGCCATTGAATACATCTTCTCTTTTTCAAGAATGTTAGCCTTTTCTTAAAAAAAAAAAGAAAGAAAGAAAAAAAAGGAAGCATTCCATTAGGAAGGCTTAAAATGCCTCTGTAGTAAAGCCATATATGCATATGTATGATTGGGGGATTGCAGAGAATTTTAACTTATCTTACTAGATTCCAAAATGAATGCCGAATTGCTTTGAGCTACTTCATATCCCATTTCTGCAAGCAGTGCATACTGAATAAGAGAAGAATCTATATCACCATCCTTATAGGCAAAGTAAGCTGTCAGGAATTTCTCAGCCCAGTGGCCTAGTTCACAGACCCCTTTATAAAGCTGTATATGGGAAGAGAAATCAAGGAGACTAGTTAGCCAGTATACTTCACCTCGGGCAAATGAGAAATGAAATCAGTCTTCAGCTCCTACCAGCTGGCCAGGGAAGGATTTTTGGTCTAAAGCAAGGCTTCTGCAAATTATTTAGGGTAAAGAGTTACTACCTTTCATAGGCACAAAGATCAGAAGTGTTTGGGTTTGTTTGTTTTGTTTTTGTCTCGAGGGAAACTTCCTGAGCCTAAATTAAAATTTGTATAATAAACTTTCCTGACTTGGAGGCTATTTGGAAGAATAAGAATATAGAATGTATCGACGTGTGTGTGTGTGTGTGTGTGTGTGTGTTTTAAAAGGACATTCTGGTCACTGCTGCTCTGTGAGGGCAAGTTATAAGACCACAGGTGAAGTGAAAGGAAGAGAATGAAGGGAAGACAGTGCCGCAGGATATAGGTGACATAAGTGTAAGGGAGGTGTGCAGAGCTCTAGGGGGACAATGTCAACTTAGCTGAATAGTCCTTATGTAACCAAAAGAGGTTAGCCATACATAATTCATTAGGAAGTTGGCAAAGGAGCAAATCTAAAGATAGATCATTAGCTGGCAGCTTTTGAAATGAGCTTCAGAGGGGCCAGATTTCAACATAGAGTATTTATGCTGGTGCAGCAGATGTGTTTAATAAATCAATGAAGGACACTGAGGTCCTAAAAGCATTCTTTTGGAAAGGGCATCCCTGACTCAGGATGAAAGAATCCACTTTCTCAATTGTCCAAATCATCGAAAACCAAAGGATGCTGCTTTCTGGGAAGAGGTGGGCTACATTTTCCAGGCTAAATCTAGCCTTTCATTTCCCAAGTAGCAACTCCCAAGACCACTAGAAGTGCCAAATTGCTCTAGTGATTTGATTTTGTGCTGAAACAGGGCTCCTTAACTGAATGCTGAGGTGAGCTCTGAACTTGATGAAAAGCCAAATGTCAAAGAGAGGAGAGATCTTTTCTCTGTCTGCCTTCCCCAGCCTGAGTTGCGTCACTGCTTTTCTCCTCTGACAAATGTCAGTATTCACATTGTCAACTAGAAGAAAAGAGGTTATATTTATAAAATCAAAGACACCAACAATGTAAGAACAGTATTGCCTCCTCTGTGTCATTTATGACAATAGCGTTTAAAAACAGCCTCGTGTTGTATTTACCTCCGCGGCAGTTCTGCACGATCTTACTACTCCTCTTCCTGTTGCATACATCTCGGCCAGATAATAAATGGCGAGGGGCTGCCCACTTTGAGATGCCAAGTAAAAATATTTGAAAGCAAGCTTATAATCCTTCCATATTCCAGAGCCAGCTGAAAATTAAAATTGTTTTGAGCCACGCTTTATTGACTTTATTTTTACATATAATCTGGATATTATGGTCATAGTGATGCCTGCTATTTAAATACGATGGGAAAAGCCAACCTAAAGTCAAGTTACTCTAAATCAACCATGTGTGAAGGTGGGGGTGAATACTGAGTTTGGTTCTAAGTAAGAATATGGAAATTTATATTCTTGAGCCATTCTGAAAATAAAATACTGGGAAAGAAGGACTACTTTTTTTTTTTCTTCAGACAGAGTCTTGCTCTGTCCCCAGTCTAGAGTGCAGTGGCATGATCTTGGCTCACTGCAACCTCTGCCTCCCAGGTTTAAGAGATTCTCCTGCCTCTACCTCCCGAGTAGCTGGGACTACAGGTGCACGCCACCACGCCCTGCTAATTTTTTGTATTTTAGTAGAGACGGGGTTTCACCATGTTGGGCAGGACGGTGTTGATCTCCTAACCTCGTGATCCACCTGCCTCAGCCTCCCAAAGTGCTGGGATTATAGGCGTGAGCCACTGTGCCCAGCAAGAACTACTCAGTCTTATGAAAATGTCTCCTCACTATGGTATAACTAAAGTTAATGCAAAGGAGACAAAGTGACAGTCTCTGAGGAGCTGAAGCCCCATCATGATCATCTCGTCATCTTTGCCATCCTTTCATACCAGGTCACCCACATAGCTTCTCGCAGCCACAACTATGGAGTATGCAGCAGGTAAATCCCAGCTCCAAGAAAACTCTCACCAAACTCCTGCTTAGGGCAAGAAGAGGCACTTGAAGCTAGAGCAGAGAACCAGCAGACTCCCAGCAGCCAGGATTCTTGTCCTGGCTCCCTCATTAGTTCTTTTGTGAGTTGGGCACATTTAGGCATGTTATTTGCAAAAGTGGGGGCTTTCTTTAGATGGTCTTTAAATCTTCCAGCTCTAACACTGGAGTCTTTAGAAGCAGTGCCATGTAGCGATTAAGAGCAACAGCTCTGGAGGCAAATTGCTCGAGTTTGAATTCTAGCTCCACAACTGTGTGATTCTGGGCAAGATGTCCAACCACAACATTGGCTCAGTTTGCTCATCTATCCACTGTGGGATACCCCGTAGATGTGTTGAGAGGGTCAAATGAGCTAAAACATACAAAGACTTAATATACATCAGCCATGACTATTATTCTTATTCTAGAAACTTGGGAAATCTGGTAGATCCCGAGCCAAGGACTTGGAATGAACTAGAAGAACAAGGGCATCTTAGGCAACGTCAACCACCCAAGATAGTACAAAACAGGTCCTCTTGCTGGGCCACTGTGGAAAATGCCAGTGGCCCCTTGACTGGATGTGACCTCCTTGACTGGATGTGACCTCCTTGATGATGCAGTCTGCTGCTGCCCTGGCTCCACCTATGACATGAAGGACTTGGTGGGGGTATTCAGGTGTGTTCAGATTTCCTGGGATTTGTCTTGGCCACGTCGTCTCTCACTCCACACAGAGATTATTACAAACCTTATGGCTTTCTGAGACCTCCTAGCTAACCACTCTACCTTTGTTCACAGAAGTCAACTTTGTACCTACTAGATCATTGAAGAAGACTTCACATTGTCTTTCCTCACTTGCCTTTCTCCCCATCTCATCCCCTCATACTTAGATCCACACCATCCTTTCCACTTTCCCTCCAGTCTTTGAGGGTGAGCAATCCTGCCTATCAAGGTTAAAAAGGCTTCCACCTATTTGGGCCCAATCAAGTGCTAATACCACCAATGTTTTTCAGAATATCTTCCCATCAATTATAATTATGCTCAGGTCTCTTGCCACCTTAAAAGTAACTCCCTCTGGGTTCTTAGTCCCACTCATGCTGAGTTCCTTCTCACTCCTTCCCTTTAAGCACACGCTGCTTGCAAGAATACTTTTACTTCTCAACTTCCTGATCTTCCGTTCATGCCATTGTCATCCAGGCAGTTCAATAGCCTCGCCCACATTCTCTGTATTGCCAAGTTTTAGAGATGTTTCATTCTTTCTTACTTGTTCTTTTAAACCAGGTTTCTCACTGCATTTCACAGGGGTGCTCATTCACTCTTTCTTGAAAGTTCTACCCTTGGCTCCATGAGTCTCTTTTTTTTTTCCTGTCCCACTGAACATGCTTTTCCATTCTTCTCAGTGATACACTTCCCTGCCTATCCTTTAATACAGCACAGAGGATCACTATTCATCCATCATGGCCCACTGCTCTTTCTCTCACCCTCTCGCTCCTTTCCTTTTGCAACCTCAATTACTCTTTTTTTAAAAAATATATATTTTATTGCATTTTAGGTTTTGGGGTACATGTGAAGAATATGCAAGATTGTTGCATAGGTACATACATGGCAATGTGGTTTGCTGCCTTCCTCCCTATCACCTATATCTGGCATTTCTTCCCATGTTATACCTCCCCAACTCCCCATCCCCTGCTGTCCCTCCCCTAGTTCCCCCCAACAGACCCCAGTGTGTGATGCGTCTCTCAAATCTTCTCTGTAAGTTTGACCTTTCTTGTGAGTTTCATACTTGCTTCTGGGGATGTGCATGGGATATCACTAGCACCTCCAACTTAACTTTGTCAAAGGTGAGCTTCCTGACTCTGTACCTCCTTGTCCCCTCCCTCAACTGGCATCCTTTCCTTTATTCTTTTTCAAATTCGAATTTGTTGCCTAAATGTTCTTTCTAAACCACTCACACCAACCCTTTGATTTTTGTTATAAAAGGGGCAGACTTAATAATGCGTATGTCATTCTAAATAAAGCAGCCAGATTTGTGGCACTTACAGTAGTACATGAAGCCTAACTGGAACTGTGCATTGGGCCACCCTTTCTCTGCAGCTTTCTGAAAGTATTTAAGCGCTTCGGCATAATTCTGCAAGATAATTACACTTTATTACTCAAAGGCACAAGTATAACTCCATGGAAACAATTGCCTTCCACTTTCTAAAAGGAGTATAGACAGTGCCCTATGTGATTTCGGCTAATTAAAATAGTATCAGAAACATTATATATTTTATTTCATTATTATATTAGATTCTATTAGGAAATAATGTCTCATTTTCATCATAATTATGTCTTTTTCTACCTTGACAGTAAGTTTTGTTAGATACCGGGGGAAGGTCACTCAAAAGACTAAGAAGATAAATATCTCCATCGATAAAGTCCTCAGAGGATAGATGATTTCTAAGGTTACTTAGAATCTATGAGTCTAAGATATAATTAGAATTGCTATTCCTGTCACAAGCTTGTTCTTCAGTGTCTCTTTGGCAGAGATTTCACTGGATTATTTTATTCTCTATTATCCAATATAACAGTTTGGCAACCAGATAACAGAGATGAATTCCTTTAAACTAATGAATGACCATGGATTTTACCCTGTAAATTGCTACAAATGAGAAGATAATAAAATAATTTAACTTACCACAGGAACTCCTTTTCCATAAAAGTAAAGAAGACCAAGCCCATGAAGACCAATTGCATTGCCCTAGGAGAGTTTTAAAAAGCCAAGTAAAGTCCCAGAAGAATTCATCATGAGGAAAATTACTGCAAAATTATCCAAAATATTTGACATGCACCAAGTAAGAGATTAATCAAAACAGGCTAACCCGGCAGTTGGCAGGTTATTCTGACACACTCTAGTTTCTCCTTTCATACTTTCATAAACCCTTCTGGCTAGAAAAGGGAAGAGGGAAACAAAAGTCAAATCTTTCCTCCATTCTTGTATTCAACAATTATTTAGGATTTGCTTTGTGTATGATTCTATAGTAGGCACTGGGCAGAGGTATAAGGTAAAAGATGAAGATGAAAAAGATAATCCCTGCCTTGGAGAGTTCACAAGCTAGTAGGCTCTGAACCATCTCAAAGGGGAGGGGCAGGTCAGACCTCTTAGAATCCTGTCAGATGTGGTAAGTCCTAAAGCAGAAATAGATTGAGGCCTGGCGTGGTGGCTCACACCTGTAAACCCAGCACATTGGGAGGCCAAGACAGGTGGATCAAATGAGGTCAGGAGTTTGAGAGCAGCCTGGCCAATATGGCGAAACCCTGTCTCTACTAAAAATGTAAAAATTAGCCAGGCGCGGTGGCACAAGCCTGGAATCCTAGCTACTTGGGAGGCTGAGGCAGGAGAATCACTTGAACCCATGGGGCAGAGATTGCAGTGAGCTTGTGTCACTTCACTCTAGCCTGGGCAAAAGAGCAAAACTCTGTCTAAAAAAAAAAAATAGATTGAGAGTGTCTTGGACACCTAGAAGATGGACACTGTATTGCCTGACTGAGGCGAGAAGCTGAAGGAGATCGTGTTGTCAGGGGTGGTGACATTTGATCGAGGTGTTAAAAGATGTGTAGGAGTTTTCCAGAAGGGAGAAGTCTATCTGGACACTTGCTACCTACCCGGTCTAAAGAGGTTGATGTAAATGACCAAATAACATTTTAGAGCTGTGGCTATCAATCCAGCCACTACAGATAGTCAAGCATCGTTGATATATTTCTTTATTTAAATGTATTGCTTATAACATCCCTGATGTTTCCTTTTCCACTTGGTGCTAATTAATTACCATTTATTTTCTGATTAATATTCTGAATACTCTAAGAAAGTGTTTAGTATATCAATTTTGAATGAAGAGTGAACCTTGAAAGTGCTTCCCAAGAAGAAAACTTCCCTTTCTTTCTATCTCCCATCACCCAGTTCACCCTCTAGTGACTACAGTAAGAAACCATGATTGACCAACTGAATTTCTTTTTTTTTTTCTTCAGACAGAGTATTGCTTTGTGGCCCAGGCTGGAGGTGCAGTGATGAGATCTCAGCTCACTGCAACCTCTGCCTCCCGGGATCAAACTATTCTCCTGCCTCAGCCTCCCAAGTAACTAGGATTACAATTGCACGCAACCATGCCCAGCTAATTTTTTGTATTTTTTTTTTTTTTTTTTGAGACGGAGTTTCGCTCTTGTTACTCAGGCTGGAGTGCAATGGCGCGATCTCGGCTAACGGCAACCTCTGCCTCCTGGGTTCAGGCAATTCTCCTGCCTCAGCCTTCCGAGTAGCTGGGATTACGGGCACGCACCACCATGCCCAGCTAATTTTTTGTATTTTTCGTAGAGATGGGGTTTCACCATGTTAACCAGGATGGTCTCGATCTCTTGACCTCGTGATCCACCCGCCTTGGCCTCCCAAATTTTTTGTATTTTTAGTAGAGATAGGGTTTTATCATGTTGCCCAGGCGGATCTCGAACTCCTAGCCTCAAGTGATTCCCCCCACCTTGGCCTTCCAAAGTCCCGGGATTACAGGCGTGAGCCACCATGCCGTGCCGACCAACTGATTTTCATTCAGCAGATCTGTAGGTGTATTTTACAGGTTTCTAGAATTTCTGCAGGAACTTATGTTCTGATAGAAAGTTCTCCGAATTTCTTACCACTTACACTTGGTTATTGTAGATGCAGCCAGAGTAACCCTCAGTAACACAGGAATAGCACATAAATAAGAAGTTATATTTCAAAAATGGTTTCAAGACTCCAAATTTTGAGCCTATGCATATGAAAGGACCTGCTATTGTAAGAGTTCTTAAGGACAATCCATTTTTACTTAAAACAGGTGGTATAACTGCTCTCTTCTTCCCTCTTCTTTCCCGGCCACGTCTCCTGTGGTTCTGGGAGTCTTGGGTAGCTCCACTCTGGAAGCAGTAAGGCTCAGTGTGATGGATGTGGCAAAGCCTAGTGAGTCTGTCTTCTAACCAACTTCATTTAGATGTCATCTTGAATTGTGGTTTCTGTAATCCCCATGCATCATGGGAGGCACCTGGTGGAAGGTAATTGAATCATGGGGGCAGTTATCCCCATGCTGCTGTTCTTGTGATAGTGAGTGAGTTCACATGAGATCTGATGGTTTTATAAAGTGCTTTTCCTTCTTTTCCTCAGCACTTCTCCCTGATGCTGCCATGTGAAGAAGGATGTGTTTACTTTCCCTTCTGCCATGATTGTATGTTTTCTGAGGCCTCCCTAGTCATGCTGAACTGTGAGCCAATTAAACCTTTTTCCTTTATAAATTGCCCAGTTTTGGTATGTCATTATAAGCAGTGTAAGAACAGACTAATACAGAAGGTAAGCTCAGAAGAGGAAATGAAACAGAAATGAGAGGAGGGAAGGAAGAAGGGAGAGAGAAAGGAAATGGTTAGAATAGCAGGGACAAATTACTTTCTCCCCTAAGGGAGTCCCTGAGACCCCAGGGACTCATCATTGAATTACCCATCACTGTTTAAGGCCCAGTGTACCTATTTAGAACTTTCAGGTGAGAAGTGTCCAGCTCAGACACCTGCAGAAACCATGCAGGTGATGTAAGAAGTAAAATATGCCAGATGGTGGAGACGATGGTGGAGAGAGTGGTAGAGATGGAGGCACATGGAGTCCCTGCCCTATGTGAAGGCAGCAGCAGCTCTCAGCTTCTCTGCTCCAGCTGGTTGGTGCCACATGGAATGGCAGTCCTATTTCATCAGGGTTTGCCATTTTGCCATTTTCTTTTCTTTGTTTTTCTTTCTTTCATTTTTTTTTTCGACTTGCTCTGTCACCCATGCTAGAGTACTGTGGAGTTATCCACAGCTCACTGCAACCTTCGCCTCCTAGGTTTAAGCAAGTTTCATGCCTCAGCCTCCCATATAGCTGGGATTACAGGCATGCACCACCATGCCTGGCTAATTTTGTACTTTTCGTAGACATGGGGTTTAACCATGTTGGCCAAGCTGGTCTTGAACTTCTAACCTCAAGTGAGCCACCAGCCTTGGCCTCCCAAAGTGCTGGGATTTACAGGTGTGAGCCGCCATGCTTGGCTAGCTAATGCCATTTTCAAGAAAAGATGGATGTTCAGATTTGGAAGTGAAGTTTACTGATTTTTAAAACACTTTCTGGGCCAGAGAAACCATATAGATAGCCAACCCCTCGGTATATACCTGCTGTTTTAGGGTGTAATGCTCTTGCTTAGGTTAACTGACATGAAGCCAGGGAGCAGATAGGCATTTCTTTGGCGAATATTTAATAAACCCCTATTATGAACCCCTTTATTTAATAACCCCTTGGCAGGACCTTTGCCCTTCTCTAGTTGAGGACACATGGCCTTTGTATAGGAGGAGAGAAGCCACAGGTAGGAAGAAGTTAAATCCCAGCAGTAGGAGTGAATGCAGGGTAAGCTCAGAAGAGGAAAGAGATCATGTGAGCCAGCAAGGGCAAGGGTAGCTCTGTGGAGGGAGGGAGGGCAGATGACAAAAGTATGAAGATGGGGAAGGGCCTGATGTGTTCGGGGGCACAAGAGAGAACTGGAGGAATGTGGTCCAGCATGGGCACAATGTCAGATACAGTCACTGTTCTCGTTTCTAAGTAAATAAGACAAAAGAGGTTGTAAAATCTGTAGTTCTGTGTCATGGTATTGATGTCATTTAAAAATAAATTTATAAAGCAGTTTTTAAAAAGTAGTAAGAGTGAGAAATCTAATAAATTGTCCAGGCGCTGATCAAGAAGTATATGGTCATTTCCACCTAATGCCATTTAGAAAAAATTACTTTAATTGTAAGTTCAGATTTCCTTTGTAAAGGAAAGGAGCTCAAGTTAAGAGCACCAGAGACACAGATCACTGCTGGTTCCACAACCCTGAATAGCTTGGGAGCTGAGTTAATTTATACTCCCATCTCCATGGCGTTCTTCTTTTGGGCTGACAAATCAGTGTTATTTGCCAGATTGTAAGAGATTTTCCTTGTTACTCCTTTTCAGTCCGCTCTTCCTTGTCATCCTAATCTTATGGTACTCCAGATAACTGCCTTGCTGAGCAACAATTTCATATAAATTACAAGGGAGAGGAGCCGAGTACTAGCCTTCTCAGTAATTTACACCACAATAGCAGCAGCTCCGAGGTGCTAGTCACTTATAAATAGGCTCCTCAAGCACTGTGTGGGTTTTTAAAAACTGAGAAGAGTTGAAACGATTCCTGATTTGAGCATATCTTTACTGCCAGTGTTCCAGTATGCAATTATAAGACAACAAAATGCTTCCTACTGGGTAGGGATAGAGTTTACCAAGGCCATTCGCCAACAGCAGGCCTGGGTGTTGGAATGAGGGCATTCTTTATGGGTGAAAGGGATTCAGAGGAGTCTACTAAGTCTTATCTGACAGATACCAGCCTCATGGAGCCCAGGAACAGAGGTAAAGACTTGGATGCAGGAGGCATATTAATTATATCATTTCTATAGTCCCTCATATAGCTAATCCATTCTGTCTGGGATGTGCTTCAAAGTTCACTCTACCTTACTGGCCCCAAACTACAAAAGATAATAGCAAACTTATTATGTGCCAGGCACTGCTTTAAGTACTTCACAATATAAGGCACATGTATATTAACTCCTTAAATCTCTACAACAGCTATATCAGACAAATATATATATATACACATTTTGATATATATTTTTTATGAGACAAGGTCTCACTCTTTCGCTCAGGCTGGAGTGCAGTGGTGAAATCTTGGCTCACTTCAGCCTCAACCTGCTGGGCTCAAGGGATTATCCCACTTCAACCTCCTGAGCAGCTGGAGGAACTACAGGTGTGTGCAAGCACACCCTAGCTAATTTTTGTGTTTTCTGTAGAGATGGAGTTTCACCATGTTGCCCAGGCTGGTCTCAAACTCCTGAGCTCAAGTAATCTGCCTGTTTCAGCCTCCGAAAGTGTTGGGATTATAGGCATGAGCAACTATACCTGCCAGGCAAATATTCTTATATTCCCATTTTACAGATGGAGAAATTGAGGTACAGAGAGGTTAAGTAACTTGCCCATGTTCGCACATCTAGTCAGTTTCAGGGCTGGCATTCAAGCCAGGGATTCTGTCTCCAGAACCCTATTCTCAGATACCTTGCCCTGGCCTCCTCCCTGACAAGCTCTGGCCTTTGTATGAGATGCGACTGGAGAAAACTGGACATTCCTAAGATGTCTTTGTCTTGAACTTCCTGCAGTTATTGACTGGGTTTTCCCTTCCTCTGTCCTCATCTCTTTTGTTTCCTGTTCCTAAGCTGGATGGCCTCATTTACTGCATAAGGGAGGGGAAAGCTGAACTTCTGTCTGGTCTCCTGCTGGCCTCTGCTAGGGCAGCACAAGCTACTACCATTTTTCATTTTCCAAGAAGACAAGTTGTATCTTCCCTTTCTCCCATTGTATACTCTGATCACCAATATTATACTTCTCCAGGGCACACAACTGCTTACAGGCTCATAATCTGGGCTTGGGACTTTGAAGTCAACTCTTTGGTACCAGTGTGCATGTAATGAAAGCAATCTATGTGTATGTGTTTACAGCAGTGCGTTGAGGACGTACCTTACTGGCTGCCACGGAGAAGTACTTGAAGGCAGTAGCGTTATTTTGCGGTGCGGCAGCATTCCCCTCTAAATACATCTAGGAAGAAAAATGAAAAGAGAATAGAAAAAAATAAAATAATTTGAGGGTAAGGCAAATATTTTAAAATGAAATAGAGGTAACAGTTGTACAACATCTTGAGTCAATGCCACTGAATTGTATACCTTAGAGTGGTCAATTTTGTGTTATTTACATTTTACCTCAATTTAAAACAACAAGAAAAAGTAAGAGTACCATTTATTACAGACTTCTGGAGTGACCTTGCCTGAGGGCAAAGAAATGGACTCTGTGTTTTCTCATGTTTCTTGCTTTCTTTTTTTTTTTTTTTCCATCTAAATTTACTGTATGTTGCACTAGGAAGCAGGACATTCATCCCTATGTTTACTAATGCAAATCGGCCACAGGGAGCCAAGTGTGGCACACAGGGGAGAGAATAGTCTTTGAAGGAGAGAGAAGAACGTGACTTTCCAGAGGAACCCTCCTACAGGCTGCTCTGCAGCCACAGGCGGCCTTCCATCAGAGGTGGCATAAGGACAGCTCTAGTCAGCCTGGAGCTGATTCTTTTCTACTACTCCAGCAACAGAAAAGAGAAGAGCCTGACTGGGCTGAGACCTGTACCCATCTCCAGCTCTCACCCAACCTGGATCTCCTCTCCATATTGGGGAGCGGGGTGGTCACAGGCTCATAGCTACACTCAGAGGAGGAGCCCTGGGCCAGATGCACTTTTTTATTTTATTTTTTATTTTTGGAGACGAAGTCTCCCTCTGTTGTCCAGGCTGGAGTACAATGGTGCTGAACTGGCTCACTGTAACCTCCAACTCCCAGGTTCAAGTGATTCTCCTACTTCAGCCTCCTGAATAGCTGGTATAAGGGGTGCCTGCCACCATGCCCAGCTACTTTTTGTATTTTTAGTAGAGACAAAGTTTCACCATGTTGGCCAGGCTGGTCTCAAACTGCTGACCTCAAGTGATCCACCTGCTTCAGCTTCCCAAAGTGCTGGGATGACAGGCATGAGCCACTGTGCTAGCCCAGGTGCATCAAGGCTGTTTTTGGTGCCCCAGATAAAGGCTGCTGTTATATGGGGCTTTATCCCAAACTGTCACCCCAAGAATACCACCCTTGGGTTGCAGCCAAATGTCCCACTCAGCTGCTTCCATGAAAGAGGCCTGCTGCCCTGTCCCACTACAATGGGTTCAATGAGCTGGTATCATTAATTCGTTAGGTTTTTAATTTTTTTTTTTTGAGATGGAGTCTTGCTCTGTTGCCCAGGCTGGAGTGCAGTGGTGCAATCTTGGCTCACTGCAACCTTCCACCTCCCAGGTTCAAGCAATTCTCCTGCCTCAGCCTTCCAAGTAGCTGGGATTACAGGCAATGCCACCACACCCAGCTACTTTTTGTATCTTTAGTAGAGATAAGGTTTCACCACCTTGGTCAGGCAGGTCTTGAATTCTTGACCTCGTGATCCACCCACGTCAGCCTCCCAAAGTGCTGAGATTACAAGTGCGAGCCACCACACCTAGCAGATTTTTAATTATTAAATTTAATTTTAATTATTTTGAGATGAGGATCTTGCCATGTTGCCCAGGCTGGTCGCCTGTGCTCAAGTGATCTTCGCACCTCAACCTCCCAAGTAGCTGGGACAACAGGTGTACTCTGCTATACCCAGTTTAATTTCTTAGGTTTTTAAGAAATGAAAAATATGAATCAAGATAAAGCATGTACCTTTCCTATAAATGCCATGGCATTTGCACTCCCAGCCTTCGCTGCCTTTAAGAAGTAGTATAATGCTTTCTGGAGAGAAAAGACAGTGTTATTGCTATTTACAAATAAATTCTTCAAAACAGCTTTTTGAACCAAACTTTATTTCATTCAATGTGCATTCAAAAAATATCTATGGTTCTTGCCACTGAGCTAGAAAAAATCCGTGAAATTCCCACTTTGTTCAAGGCATTATTCCAACCAAGTGCTTTTTCAACCACAACCTAAGGAGTGGGAGAGCCTCTACATATCTTTCTTACATATAATTGTATAACTTAAGGATTTGCTTCTTACATTTGGAAAGCCACAATGGGAATGCAGCTTTGTAGGGAGAGATGAATCCCAGCTATGAAGGTAAACAGTCCATTATTTTGAAAAGTAGGCTTAGTAAGAGGTTTTACTATGGTTGGCAAAATATGGTTGGCAGAATTGGATACACAGTATCCTAATGTTTATAGGCAGAGTAAGACCAGACACACTTGGCCAGCTCCTGAGATTAGGTCTTTATGCAGAAGTGGGCTTTAAGACAATTCCTTCTAATTCAATTTTTGTATTTTTTTAGTAGAGATAGGGTTTCGCCATGTTGGTCAGGATGGTCTCAATCTTTTTACCTCGTGATCCGCCCACTCAGCCTCCCAAAGTGCTAGGATTATAGGCATGAACCATCATACCCGGCCAATAAGTCTTTTACAAACTTTTTCTTACCCAGTCTTCACAATAGCACCATCAGGAGATTATTATTAATATCTGATCTTATTACCAACATGTTAGATTTGTGCAGTTAGTACTGGAGATCAATAAACAGCTCGCCACTCTGTCTCCACGGCATACAGAGGAGGGCTAAAATGATCAAGGCCTCATGAAAGATGGTGACAAATCACCAGCACAGAGGCTAGGGGAAGAACCTGAGCAAAGGAATGGAGATGGGAGTGGCCCGGGTGTGTTCAGAAAATGGTGGTTACTTCAGCGTGGCTAAAATAGAACATCCGAAAGCTAAGACTTGCAAAAATAAGATGGGGCCATTACTATAAACAGTCTTGAATACCAGGCTAAGGATTTTATTTTTTTCAATTAAAAAAAAAATTATTTTGTGACAGAGTCTTGCTCTGTCACTGTGCACCCAGGCTGGAGTGCAGTGGTGTGATCTCAGCTCACTGCAACCTCCGCCTTCTGGGTTCAAGAGATTCTCCTGCCTCAGCTTCCCGAATAGCTGAGATTACAGGTGTTCAACCACCACATCTGGCTAATTTTTGTATTTTTAGTAGAGATGGGGTTTGCCATGTTTGCCAGGCTGGTCTTGAACTCCTGGCCTCAGGTGATCCATCCAAATTGTCCTCCCAAAGTGCTGGGATTACAGGTGTGAGCCACCGTGCCCTGCCATAGGGATTTTTATTTTATTTGTTAGAAAACAGAAGCCACTGAAGATCTATGACTGTTAGGGAATCCTGAAGATAAAGAGGCAGCTGGAGAGGAGAAAGTTACAGGAATTGTTACAAGTTACTAAATGAGAGAACACTAACATCAAAAATAAAAGTGTATCTCATGAATATCTCTACTGAGCCATGACCAAAATATGTCCCCAGGTAACTGCGTAAATTACACAAATCACATTATCTCCTGGGCTTGGTTTCCTCATTCAGATTCTCCTTCTCTGTGCTCTCGAGGCATCTCATTCTGTCCCCATTGCAGTATCCCTCTGTTGATTTCATTATCTACTTATTTTATCTCTTCCTATGTTGAGTCCTCTTTACTAGCATAGTATGGGCACCAGGAAATGTTTCAGAAATAAATAAATGAATGAATGTTTATCCATCTCTAAAACAAGGCAGCTGGACTTTAACATGTGTGACTCTTCCAGCTCTAGTATTATAATACTGTAAAATCATTTTCAAAGATCAGTTTAGTAATTTGGCTCTCAAATATCTTACAATAGAGACTTCTGAAGAAAGTTTCATCTGGGAAATCCGTGAAATTTTAAAAGAAAGTAACTTGTTCCCCAGAAGCAAATACAAATCCTAGGGTTTTCCCCACCCTTCAATATAATGATCACATAAAGACCTAAAGGAAGTGAGACTTTGTCTCATACATGGCTCTGCTGTCATGACTTACTTAGCATTTCATTCCCTTATTTTTCTTTTTAAATTTACGTGTCCTTAATACTGTTGCTTCAATTATATAAACCTTTATTAAATGCCACACGAAAGTATCACCCAGCAAGCTACCTTGATGGATATACACCAGCCAACCTGAGTTCTTCTCTCAAAGAGTTAAGTTCTTCTCTCAAAGCATCCATCCATCCATCCATCCATCCTTCAAATATTAACTGAGTACCCATCATCATATTTCACTGATTCTAAGACTTACATTTTCTCCCACCTCATTTTAATCAGGACACTTCTTACTGTCAATGGCATATTATAATTTATATAGGTAGGTTATTTTTCTTCCTCAGTAGAACATAAAATACTTGCGTGTCTTACAATTGGTGATATCTTGGTATAAAATATAGTATGTGCCAGGTATTATGCTAAGTAAGTGAAGCTATATTATTTGAACTGAAAACTCTTTTGAAAAAATGAACATGATTTTTCATTGGCTCTTAGAAAATCTGTAGTTTAATCAGTTTGTAACATTTCCCCTAGAATAAAATGCCAAGAAAATGTATTGTTCTAAAAACACTTACGAATACTTCTTCCATCTCTGGCGCTGTAGATTATCCTGAGAAGAGATGGTATTAGCTCTTTTTTTTTTTTTTTAAATTTTTAAATGGGTGGCAGGATAGACAAATCAGTTGCCCTTACAAATTTGATATTATTCCTCTGCTGGGTTTAATTTAATTATGCTTTATCCACTTTAATAATATGCAACCAAACATCCCGCTTTTCTAATCCAATTTATTCTGAGCCTGCATATATTTAGAAATGCAAATAATATTAAAATCTATGTATAAAAAATGCAAGACAATGTAATCAAGAATTGCATATACAATATGTTTCAATAATTAAGAATTTGGTCGGGGAGGGTAAAAATGTGTTCTGTGATGACAACGCATGAGAGAGATTAGCTCAACCAAACAGTGAAGTGGAGGCGGGGGTTTGAAGAAAGGCAAGCTAGTTATTTCCAGGTATTTCGAAATGTAATTTTCTGTGCAGTGGACTGGAGCATCATATATAAAAAGAGCCTTATACTAATCATTTTCTTCGGTGGACTGAGATATTAGCATACTGGCTCAAGTGGTGGTCTTCAGGCTGAGGACTACAGTTAAAAATAAGGTATTGTATATTTCAAAATAACTAGAAGAGGGGGTTTTGAATGTACTCAGCACAAAGAAATGACAAGTGTTTGTGGTGATGGATTTGCAAATTATCCTGGCTTGATCACTGCATAATGTATACATCACATTTGTATAAATTGTATCTATTACATAAGGTATGCGTTATGCAATAATCAAAACATCACATTGTAGCCCATAAATATGTACAATTATTATGAGTCAATTAAAAAATAAAAGAAAAGAAAACATTATTCTCTCTGAGGAGGTGAAACTTGGAAAGATGAGAAGTGAGGCATGAAAAGAGCTGCAGTAATAGCCTTTTGGAAACTGGATTTATCTTTGTATCTTCCCTCTCCTTTATGTATTGCCCATTTCCCTACCCCTCCAGTCTTTCTGGCCTTGTGATTTGCTTTGGCCAAAAGAATGTGGCAGAAGTGATTTGTCAGTCTGAGCTCGGGCCTCAAGAGACTTCTGCTCTGGTGTCCTTAGAACCTTTGACTGCCATGTGGAAAGCCTGGGCCAGTTGGCTGGAGCATGAGACCAATGCAGAGGGGCTCCAGTCATTCTAGCAGTCACAGATGAAGCCATAACAAACCAGCCAGTTCTAGCTAATGTTCTAGCTAATTGCAGATGCATGAGCAAGCCCAGCTAAGATTAGCTGAGCCTGGCCCAGATCAGAATTGCTCAGCTGAGCCTAACCAAAACTGCTGACCTGCCAAAATCATGAATTAAACAAATAGTTTTTATTGAAAACCACCTATGTTTGGGACTGCTTTTTAAAATGCAGGCAAAGATAACTGATAGATAAATCAATTTGTTTGAAGGTTTGAGATTTCAACCCTCCATTCAAGTTCAGGTTCATTAAACTGAGGAAAGAAGAAAGGACCAGGCTGTTCTTACCCACATAGAGTAACCAAACCACAAGGATGGTTCTGGAATTAAACTCATCTTCTTGGGATATGTGGAAGCAGGAGGCCCAACCCACTATCAGAAAGAGTTAAAGGAAACTGAACGTCATGTCATTCCTTCTTCTTGCTTTATAAATGAGGGAACAGATTATCAAAGCTGGTTTTGTTTTTTTCTGAGTCAAATAAAGTTTAATGGAAAGAACTCAGGTTTTGGTTTTTGAAGGCCTGAGTTCAATTTCTGCTTCTTAAACAATCTTACTTCCCAGCTGTGAGCCTTGAAGCAATTTACTTTATCTCTCCAGCCTCTGCTTCTCATTTGTAAAGCAGATGTAATCAAACCTCATGAATGAGCCCACAAGAGGTCCTGGCTAGGTGACGCTAAGCTGTCTGGCTGCTACACAACAGCTCTGGGATTCTGCATTACCAGCCCCCGGATAGCACTTCATCCTCACCTGGAGGCAGCTGCAACTGCCATCTGGTGATCACGGTGGCTGGAGCTGACTGAAGTACCAACTTTGTGGGGTTTTACTGCAGTGTACAAAGATCGGTGTGTCTTCTCTACAGCTGAAGCTAGGGTGCCCTCACATCCAAATTTCACGTTTATGGAAAACGAAGAATTCTTCCTAGTTATACATTCTCTGATTAACTGAGATTTCAGGCTGAAATCTGACAGAGTAATATTAAGAATCTAGATATTCCCATCTAAGAAGTTAAAACTTTGGTTACGATTAAGGTAAAAAAATCTACAGATCTTCAACTGAGCTGTCTTGGGGTGCATATGCTTATTTAAATTCCTATTTTATCACATTTTATGAAATTACTTCGACATTTACCTGATGTTTACTGGACCACATATAAAATACAAATTATAGTACCAAAGACACACTCATAAAATAACAACACAAAATGAAATGCCAAGTAATAACAGGTCACTTTTTTAGGCAATAGCCTTATGAAGTAGTCATTTCTACCGCTTAGCCATTGGGAATATGTAGAAATAGGCTATTTCCTTTGAGACAAAGAGCATGTGGCTCCTATAAATGAAAAGAGCTGCAAAATCATCTTTAAAAAATCCGGTTACTTCCCAGGTCTGTGGTGACGTAGGGCCTTGAAACGACTATCAGAATCTAAGCAAGAACTCATCCCATGACCTCGGAGTCATACAGAGGAGGAGCCTGTGTAGGTCAAGTTCATTTGCTTTTTTCTCTGCTATAAATTTGAATGGTTAATTAATCTTTTAATCTCACTGAGATAAGGTAAGTTAAGCAAAATGATTGAAAGGAGCTTTGCAAATGTATAAGGATGTTTAATATATTTTAGATTATATTATAACCAGTCTGTCCTCCGATCTAGCCAAATGGTAATGAAGTTGCTTCTCAGGCTCCTTAGCAGTGACCCCCAGGTGAACTCTGCAGCTGGCCTTGGGTGCAGGCCGGCAGATGGGGATATTCTCTTCCTAATCCCAGGCCAAAGTGCATGTGGGTGGGCAGAGACTAAGTTCTGTTGGAACATGGATACACCCCTGCCTTGATTGCTCCTCACAAGTTCCTTTCCTTTTTATTCTTGAAGGCAAGTGGGCAAGTGCTCCCTCTGGAGAACTTAGTTCTTCCTTAGAAGCTGGGTAGCATAGTTGACCAAGAAAGCAGCAGTGGGCTTTCTGAGCACTCTTCCACCTCTCCCTCTCCCTACTTTCATTTCCCTGCTAGCCTACCTCACCACTACCCTCCCCACCCCATGTGACTGAATCTTGAGATTGACTTACGTAGTCATCCTGATCTAGACCTTTTCTCCCAGTTAGATGTAATTGTCCAAGAGAGACCTAGGAACAATGAGTTTGGAAATGATTTTAGCACAGTATTACTTTAAATAAAACATTCATGTGGTGATTTTATTGTAGTATGTTGATTGTTGGATGCATTTGCAATGCCCTGAAAAAAATGAGGGAAACATTCCAGACTATATCATTTATTGGGTAATTGGTTGCTGCTAGATATATGGCTTTCTTAGTGGCTGGAAGCTGGCCTGCTGGGGTACAGAAACACTCAGGCACATAAACCTAGGGGCCTTAACTCTTGGCTCTCAAAGATCATGAAAATATTGTTGCCTTTCCAAATCCTTCTGGATTGTTGTAGTTTATGCATATTAAAACCAACATTAGATGGTGCTTTTTTTCTATAATTAAGATCTAGGTCTGTTGGGCATGATGGCTCATGCCTGTAATCCCCCTGTAATCCCAGCATTTTGGGAGGCCAAGGTGGGTTGATTACTTGAGGCCAGGAGTTCAAGACCTGCCTGGGCAACATGGTGAAACCCCATCTCTGCAAAAAATGCAAAAATTAGCCAAAGGTGGTGGCACACTCCTGTAGTCCCAACTATTTAAGAGGACGAGGTGGGAGGATGACTGAGCCCAGGAGGCAGGGGTTGCAGTGAGCTGAGATTGCACCATTGCACTCTTGCCTGGGTGACAGAGAGCCATCATGTCTTTTTTTTTAAGACTAGTCAAGTGCAGTAGTGAGAAGAAGGGAAAGAGTAGAACAAGGAGTTCGACCTGTAACTGACTGCGAACAATCAATTGAGATAACTCACTACCTTCAGACCAGCCCATCATGTCTTACAAAAAAAAATAAAAGGCTGGGTGCGGTGGCTCATGCCTGTAATCCCAGCAGTTGGGGAGGTAGAGGCAGGCGGCCTACAAGGTCAGGAGATCGAGACTGGCTAAACATATTGAAACTGTATCTCTACTAAAAATACAAAAAAATTAGCCAGGTGTGGTGGTGGACACCTATAATCCCAGCTACTCAGGAAGCTGAAGCAGGAGAATCACTTGAACCTGGGAGGCAGAGGTTGCAGTGAGCGGAGACCATGCCACTGCACTCCCTGGGTGACAGAGTGAGACCCCTTCTCCAGAAAAAGAAAAAAATCTAATTCTTTAAAAAATTAGTTTTTAAATAAGAAATGCAAAACAAAAATGCTGTTATTATGGCAACTAGTTCTCCAGTGGGCTACAGGAACTGCAAGGAGCAGGGAACAACACAGGAGTAGGTGAGAGGAGGGTGTGTGTCTCCCCTTTCTTATTAAGGATGGGGCATTGTTCATCCCTCCAGGACTCACAAAGAATTAAGCCCCTTGTAATTTTCATATTCTAAAAATGCAATCTCATCTGTATACATTACTTGTATCTGAACATCTCCTCTTTCTGCCAAAAATTTATAGTATTGGTATCTGTCCCAATCCAAAATCTCACTGTTAGAACTCAGATTTTCAGCTCTTTCTGTTAGTCTCACTTTTTCCACTGGAACACCTTCACTTTTTTCCAATGTGTCAGCAACTGTGAATGAAAACAAGCCAGAGAATAGCTAGAAAACAGAGGCTGCAAGAGATAACAGTCAGTTTAGAGAAAACACTGTTAGCTTATTATCTTAAATTTTACATAAATCTGTTCAAGTAATAGAGACAGAAGATCCATGAAAAATAAAAATTTGCAGATTTTTGGCCAGGCATGGTTGCTCATGACTGTAATTCCAGCACTTTGGGAGGCTGAGGTGGCCAGATTGCCTGAGATTAGAAATTCAAGATCAGCCTGGCCAACAACATGGCGAAATCCTGTCTCTACTAAAAATACAAAAATAGCAGGGTATGGTGGTGCACTCCCATAATCCCAGATACCTGGGAAGCTGAGACATGAGAATTGCTTGAACCGAGGGGGTGGAGGCTTCAGAGAGCCAAAATCGAGCTACTGTGCTCCAGGCTGGATGACAGAGGGATACTCTGCCACAAAAAAAAAAAAAAAAAAAAAAAAAAAAAAAAAAAAAGCAAAAAAAAAAAAAGAAATTTGGAGATTTTTGTTTATTGGGTTCTGAGAAAAGTGCAAGAAATCTAGTTTTTCTTCGCAACTGACACAAGCATTGTATCAACTTGTATCAGACTCTACTGAAGATCTTGACCAAAAAGACTCAAGGAAAGGGGATATTTTAGGAGCCGACAACTCACTCCATCCATCACTTTTTTTCTGGGACTAAGCGTATAATATAGGAATAATCACTGCTCTTTAATTATTCCCTATGGATAGTCTGAAAATAAATATAAAGATAAATATGCTTGAATACATCTAACAAAGTGTACAGTTTGAAATACACATAATAATTCCAATTTTATTAAGCACATGAAAATGATCTTGTTATATACAGCATCTTAAATTCAAAACTAGTTTTTTTCCTCCTCCTTTCTTTTCTCAGATCCTAATAGTACCAAAGATGTGTATTTAGATGTTATTCGAATTACATTTAAACCAATGGTTGCTTGAATTGTTCTCATATGTGGTGACAGATACCTCCAATGTATGTACCTTACATTCATTCCTTTAGGAACTTTTAGCCAGTCATCCCATATTCTAAATGCTGCATTTAGGGAAACTGCTTAATATTTATTGGTGTTACATTCAAATTCTTAGTAAAGGAAATAACACCACAAGTGCAAGTAAAACAGAATCGTTTGGGGACACATATTAACAAAAATATAAAAATGAGTATAATCTTTTTTTTTTTTTTGAGATGGAGTCTCGTCTATCTCCAGGCTGGAGTGCAGTGGCATGATCTTGGCTTACTACAACCTCTGCCTCTCCAGTTCAAGTGATTCTCCTGTCTCAGCCTCCTAAGTAGCTGGGACTACAGGCACACGTTACCACACCCAGCTAATTTTTGTATTTTAGTAGAGACAAGGTTTCACGGTGTTAGCCAGGATGGTCTCGATCTATTAACCTTGTGATCCACCTGCCTTGGCCTCCCAAAGTGTTGGAATTACAGGTGTGAGCCACTTTGCCTGGCCAAAAATGAGTATAATTTTTTAAAACTATTTGGAAAGTAACAGGAAACAGAAACTCTGTATTGCATTAAAAGAATTGTATTATAACATGTTTAAAACATACATTTTTATATTTTCATAAGTTTATATCAATTGAACAGTTATTGATTTATTTCTCTAATTGCTTGGCAACTTTATTTTAAAATAAACTATATGGATTACTTACTATAATCTGCCACTTTCTTGTAATGACTTAGGGCAACTTCACAATTTTGTAGAACATTGATTCCTGACAAATATCTGTACCCCTAAAATACAGGCAGATGCATTCTTAATATTCAAGACAATGCTGTATTTATGGCACACAAATTTGGTCTCAAGAATATTTTGTTTACAAACCAAAATCATCTGGGACATCATGCTTCCTCCAGCACTTCCAAAGGTGTAATATATTAGTGCCTAAAGTAAAAATAAACAAACAAAACAACAACAACAACAAAATCTAACTAGGTTGGCCATCTAAATTTGAAACTTAAACCAACTATACCTTTTTTATTCTTAGCCCCACAATGACCCATTGAGTTACTTCAAAATAAATTTTAAACTTCACTCTCCTCTATAAAGATGGCTGCCATTTATTGGGGGTTTACTCATCTCTCAAGTCTGTGATAAGTGAATTGTATAAGATATTTCATTTAATCATCATAATTTCCCTATGAAGTAGATATTATCTATCTTCAGCGAAGAAGCTGACTTATGAGACTTTAAGAAACTTATGGCATAAGAACACTAAATTTCTTTGACGATTAATCCGGTGCTTTCAACCACTACAGTAGAGTGAGCTCCTTTACTTAATGAGTAGATTCTATTCAATGTCCCTTTTAAAGAAATCAGTTTTGCTCCAGAATAAAACAGAATAACCTTTACCTTGGCTTGATCATATTCCATTCCTATTCCATAAGAAGATAAAAATCCTAATGCCTAAAGCACAAAAGAAAAAATAAAAGTTAACAAATCAATTTATTTCACAATTATTCTTATCTATATGGATAAGAGATATCTTAAATGTCTGCTCCATAATAAGTTGCATTGTTAATTTCTTTTTTTCTTTCTTTTTTTTGAGACAGAGTTTCGATCTTGTCACACAGGCTGCAGTGCAATGGCGTGGTCTCGGCTCACTGTAACCTCCACCTTCTGGTTCAACGGATTCTCCTGCCTTAGCCCACCAAGTAGCTGGGATTACAGGCACCCACCACCACACCCAGCTAATTTTTGTATTTTTAGTAGAGATGGGGTTTCCCATGTTGACCAGTCTGGTCTCAGACCTGAGGCCAGGCTGACCTCAGGTGATCCACCTGCCTCAGTCTCCCAAAGTGCTGGGATTAAAGGCATGAGTCACTGCACCCAACCATTGTTATTTTATTTTTTATACCATAACAAAGCACCTTTTTGCACTTTTATTAAGGTGGCAGGAATTTGGGAAAGCTCACAATAGTGGGAGGTTTGTGCAATATATGTAAACGTAGGCCAATTCTTACTGTATTTTAGTATAAATTACAGTAATAAAAACTATAGGCCCTTATATACTTTCCTTTCTTGGTAATGAAATAGTTTTCCTTCAATAGTTAAAACATTTTGGGGGGAGGACTCAAGATGGCGCTGTGAGAACAACCCAGGATTGGAGCTCTCCTTAAATCCGCGGAGAGGTGAGTTGGAGCTGCATTTCCAGACTGATCTTTGTTGCCCACAGAACGGGGAAATTCCCAAGTATAAAGGAGACGCGAGACGCCAGGCAGCCGGGGTGGCGGCGGCCGGCCCTACCCAGCGCTCCCCACAGGGCGTGCTTGACCGGGTGCCCTGTTGAACCGGCAACCTGAGACTTGAGAGGGCTGGACTTGAGACTGAACGAGACTTGGACAGTGGGCCAGCCCAGGGGATTGCAGGGACAGAGCGTTTGGGATAGCCCAGTGGGACAAACAAAACCACAATTTCAAACGATCCCTGTCCAGACGGTCCAAGATGCTCTGTGGGGGAGGGGCGTCCACCATTACCGAGGCAACCCGCCCCAACTGAGATACACGCCCACTGCTGACGCAGCCAGCCGTTGTCGAGGCAACCCATCCCTACTGAGATACACGCCCACTGCTGACGCATCCTGCCATTGACGAGGCAACCCGCTACAACAGAGAGACTCCACCGCAGGGTGTGGCGGAAACCACAGCAGAACAGCAGATCCTGCAGCAACAGGGCAAACCACACAACAGCAGGGCGGAGGCTCGGCAGGCAAACAGTGGCTAGTCTGCCTCCTAGCTGGGCAGGAAACCTCAACAGACGACCAAAAATTAAGCCCGAACCCCCCAACACAGAGCATTTGAGAAAAAAAGGGTTTTTTTTAATGAGCTCTGTTGCAGCAGAATCAAACATAGCAGCCTAACAGCCCTGAATGAACAACAGAGCTCACAGCTCAGCAATTGAGCTCCTATAAAGTACAGACTGTCTCCTCAAGCAGCTCCCTGACCCCTCTATATCCAAAAGACTGACATTTGGCAGGCATCATCCTGGGACAAAGATAGCAGAAAAAGAAACTGGTAGCATCCCTCACTGTGCCACAGCTGCTAGAGGTGCACCCCAGACAAGCAGGGCATGGAGTGGACATCAGCAGTCGTACAGCAGAGGGGCTAGACTGGTAGAAGGAAAACAAAGTAACAAAAATACTTCATCATCAACAATCTGGGTGTCCACTCAGAGACCCAATCGAAAAGTCAGCAACTACGCAAATGACAAGTGGATAAATCCACAAAGATGGGAAGAAACCAGCGCAAAAAGGAGGAAAACACCCGAAACCAGAACACCTCGCCTCCTAGAAAGGACCCAAACTCCTCACCAGCAAGGGAACAAAGCTGGACGGAGAATGACTGTGATGAAATGACGGAATTAGACTTCAGAAGGTGGATAATGAGAAACTTTTGTGAGCTAAAAGAACATGTATTAAATCAATGCAAAGAAACTAAGGAACTTGAAAAAAGATATGAGGAAATGATAACAAAAATGGATAACTTAGAGAGGAATATGAATGAATTAAAGGAGCTGAAAAACACAATACGAGAACTTCGCGAAGCATGCACAAGTTTCAATAGCAGAACTGACCAAGCAGAAGAAAGAATATCTGAAGTCGAAGACCAACTCAATGAAGTAAAACAAGAAACCAAGATTAAAGAAAAAAGCACAAAAAGGAATGAACAAAGTCTCCAAGAAATGTGGGACTATGTGAAAAGACCTTACCTACATTTGATAGGTGTCCCAGAAGGGGACGAAGACAATGAATCCAAGCTGGAAAATACTCTTCAGGACATCATCCAGGAAAATTTCCCCCACCTAGCAAGACAGGCCAACACTCAAATGCAGGAAATACAGAGAACACCACAAAGATATTCCGCAAGAAGAGCAACCCCAAGGCACATAATCGTCAGATTCAACAAGGTTGAAATAAAGGAGAAAATACTAAGAGCAGCCAGAGAGAAAGGTCGGGTCATCCACAAAGGGAAGCCCATCAGACTCACAGCAGATCTCTCGGCAGAAACACTACAAGCCAGAAGAGAGTGGGGACCAATATTCAACATTCTTAAAGAAAAGAACTTTCAACCCAGAATTTCATATCCAGCCAAACTGAGCTTCAGAAGTGAAGGAAAAATAAAATCCTTTGCGAACAAGCAAGTACTCAGAGATTTTGTCACCACCAGGCCTGCTTTACAAGAGCTCCTAAAAGAGGCACTACACATAGAAAGGAACAACCAGTACCAGCCATTCCAAAATCACACTAAATGCTAAAGAGCATCAACATAATGAAGAATCTACAACAACTAACATGCAAAACAGCCACTTAGCATCAAAATGGCAGTATCAAATTCACACATAACAATATTAACCCTAAATGTAAATGGACTAAATGCACCAATCAAAAGACACAGACTGGCAAATTGGATAAAAATCCAAAACCCATCAGTGTGCTGTATCCAGGAAACCCATCTCACATGCAAGGATACACAAAGGCTCAAAATAAAGGGATGGAGGAAGATTTAGCAAGCAAATGGAGAGCAAAAAAAGGCAGGAGTTGCAATTCTCATCTCTGATAAAATAGACTTTAAAGCAACAAAGATCAAAAGAGACAAAGAAGGCCATTACATAATGGTAAAAGGATCGATACAACAAGAAGAGCTAACGATCCTGAACATATATGGACCCAATGCAGGAGCACCCAGATACATAAGACAAGTTCTTAATGACTTACAAAGAGACTTAGACTCCCACACAAAGTGGGAAACTTTAACACTCCACTGTCAATATTAGACAGATCAACCAGACAGAAAATCAACAAGGATATCCAGGGTTTGAACTCAGACCTGGAGCAAGCAAACCTGATAGACATTTACAGAACTCTCCACCCCAAATCCACAGAATACACATTCTTCTCAGCACCACGTCACACCTACTCTAAAATTGACCACATAATTGGAAGTAAAGCACTGCTCAACAAATGCAAAACAACTGAAATCATAACAAACAGCCTCTCAGACCATAGTGCAATCAAGTTAGAACTCAGAATACAGAAACCAACCCAGAACCGCACAGCTTCATGGAAACTGAACCACTGGCTCTTGAATGTTGACTGGGTAAACAATGAAATGAAGACAGAAATAAAGAAGTTCTTCGAAACCAATGAGAACGAAGACACAACACGCCAGAACCTCTGGGACACATTTAAAGCAGTCTCTAGAGGAAAGTATATAGCAATAAGTGCCCATATGAGGAGAATGGAGAGATCCAAAATTGACACCCTATCGTCAAAATTGAAAGAGCTAGAGGAGCAAGATCAAAAAAACTCAAAACCTAGCAGAAGACAAGAAATAACTAAGATCAGAGCTGAACTGAAGGAGATTGAGACACGAAAAACCCTTCAAAAAGTCAATAAATCCAAGAGCTGGTTTTTTGAAAAGATCAACAAAATAGACAGACCACTAGCCAGATTGATAGAAAAGAAAAGAGAGAACAAACAAATAGATGCAATAAAAAATGATAAAGGTGAAATCACCACAGATTCCACAGAAATTCAAACCATCATCAGAGAATATTACAAACAACTCTATGCACATAAACTAGTAAACCTGGAAGAAATGGATAAATTCCTGGACTCCTGTGTCCTCCCAAGCCTAAACTGGAGGAAGCTGAAACTATGAATAGACCAATAACAAGGTCAGAAGTCGAGGCAGCAATTAAGAGCCTACCACTCAAAAAAAGCCCAGGTCCAGACGGATTCACAGCCGAATTCTACCAGACACACAAAGAGGAGCTGGTACCATTCCTTCTAAAACTATTTCAAACAATCCAAAAAGAGGGAAGCCTTCCCAAATCATTTTATGAGACCAACATCATTCTGATACCAAAACCCGGCAGAGACCCAACGAGAAAAGAAAACTTCAGGCCAATATCCATGATGAACATAGATGCAAAGATCTTCAATGAAATATTGGCAAGCCGATTGCAACAGCAAATCAAAAAACTTATCCATCATGATCAAGTAGGATTCATCCCAGGGATGCAAGGCTGGTTCAACATACGCAAGTCTATCAACGTAATTCACCACATAAACAGAACCAAAAACAAAAACCACATGATTATCTCAATTGACGCAGAGAAGGCATTTGACAAAATTCAACAGCTCTTTATGCTAAAAACCCTCAATAAACTCGGTATCGATGGAACATATCTCAAAGTAATAAAAGCTATTTATGACAAACCAACAGCCAATATCATACTGAGTGGGCAAAAACTGGAAGCATTCCCTTTGAAATCTGGCACTAGACAAGGATGCCCTCTTTCACCACTCCTATTCAATATAGTACTGGAAGTTCTAGCCAGAGCAATCAGGCAAGAAAAAGAAATAAAGGGTATTCAAATAGGAAAGGTGGAAGCCAAATTGTCTC